GCTAGGTGAAACATGAGCGAAAGAAAGTTGCATATGCAAAATTGTCTCGATAGTTAACTGACGGTGAAATCTACAAAATCAGCGGCTATTTTTACCTACATATAATCCATTAATTTCTTAATGTTTTTCACTTGATAGTGCAATTTCATTTCGGTCAATACGTAGAAGAAACAATAAAGGAACATGAAAAAAAGACTTTGCTTCTCAATTCCAATTTTTTTCTCTGTCGAGAATGTTCAGTCCGCATGGTATGATTGAGAGATTGCTTCCTCTGCTTATATTTTAGGCAAATTTTCAAATGCATTGCGAGCTCTCCAGAGCGAGACTCGCTCTCGGCTCGCTTTACTCGCCAGTGGATAGCTTAATTGCAGGCTAGTAATTTAATTTTACTTCGTTTTCTATTGGTGTCAGTCAAATATAATATTAGCATGAAACATCAGTGTTCAGCAAGAACAATTCGTATAATTGTTCGCAACGCTTTCTGTTAGTTATGTGCATGGCTTATCCAGCTGTTTTTTAGCCCTCCTGATCCATTCAAGGTTTTTGTCCATGCGTTTAACGTTTTAAGCTATCCATTAATAGATTCTGTTCAACCATTTAACATTTTAAGCCATCAGTTTATTTTTTTTCTCGGCCGTTGAACGGTTTACGGAATCCGTTTTTGAACTTTGCTCTACCGTTTAACCCTTTGGACTATCCGTTTAAATGGATGTGCAAACCATTTAAACACTCTTACTACCCGTTTATTATCCGATTACAAACCGTTTATTTACAACCATTTAACGAAAGAGCGTTAGTGTATGAAATCCTGTGCCCCGTCACATATGGTAATGTAGAATATCATTACAACTTAGGAGTTCTGCATTCCTTCTGAAAAGTAATGCTTCTGACTAAAAACATCATTGCGACATGCAGCATTTTGATTGCGAGATAAAAGACAATCCTCAAACAATCATATAGTCCATAAATCCTCTATAATTATCTCAGCAATGATAATATGTACTTTTTTCCAATTACCATCATTTAGAGTTGATTGAAGTTGGAAAGAAAGAGCCAGCTTTGGATACACTGAATGATGTCATTAAAAGCAAAAAGCATTGTACTTGGCAGAATAAGATTCACAAACCTATTTTTTTTAAGTACTTGGAGCTCTGCGTTGATCTCAAACGAAGCCACGTAGCTAAGGAAGGGCTGTATCAGTACAAACTGATCTGCCAGCAAGTCAATATTGCATCCCTTGAGGATGTCATTTGCTACTTTCTCAAGCTTGCTGAAGATCGTGCAGAGACTGTAAGGCAGGAGTCTCGTGAGCAAGTACCAACTGTAGATGATTTGGATCAGTTACAAACACCTTAGACACCTTATTTTAACCTTAGACTTAAACATTTTAGAAAGGATATTTTAATTAGGAGAGTAAATTTCTGAAGAAATTGTCATGTTGCATTAGTGAGGGGCATTGCAAGTTAATTTGGTTTTATCACTGAGTTAATGGAAGGTGTGAATTGGCTACTACAAAGGGATTTTTGAAGTGGTATTTTCAGTGTTTGCCCTTTGTCAGAATAAAATTAATCCAATTTTATTCTTCATCTCAACAAATGGCGGGTGGAACTCTCTACAATGTCCAATTTATGCCACCAACTTAAATTATTGCAATTTGAAAAGGGTTAGCATAGTGGGAGAGGTGGTTTATCATTTAACGAGAAGACTCTAATTTCCCATTGACTATTTGTCTAATATTTGTATTAATGATCAAGTATAATTCTAGCAGGGAGCACTATATTATATCAAGATAGACCTTAAAGAGTTGTCTATGCATGCATTTATTGTGGCTCAATTTTTTTCCTTGACCTTCATCATGTCATGCTCTGTTCAATACATTATCTGATGTTGAAGTATAAAGAATTTATAATTGAACCAAGGATATGAACTGAACCGCAACATGTGTATGTATGTAAAAGAACTCAAAATGATAAAATTGTCGTCATCATTTTCCCAAAATAATAATTATATTGATGAGAATGCAAGCCATGGGTATCTACATGTGCAACCCTATTCCTCGCCTTAAGTGTTTGAATTATTGAACTCAATATGTGTTGTCCACTTTGATTCAGCATACTGCTTAGTTTTGTGAGTGGTGAAGACACTCAGGATCATACAGACGGAGTCATGTTGACACCTTGGGTCAAGTTTTTATGGGAAGCTTATTGCAATGTGTTAGAATTGCTGCGACATAATGCACAATTGGAAAAGCTATATATCATGACACAGCCCAACAAGGTAAGAAGAAGCTTAGAACTTTTAACAGCACCTGATTTTGAAGTCATTATTTCCTCTGAGTGATGATGTAATGTTTTATTCTATCTTTCATATTTTAGCTTTTAAATTCTGCTTGAAGTACTCCCGTCGCACAGAATCTCGAAAGCTTTGTGACAATGTGAGTGCAGCCATATTTTGTTCTTCCCCTGTATACACAAATATCTTTGTTTTACAAGGTCAAATCAGTACAAGGTCAATGAGGTGAATAAAAATGATATTAATTTTGTCAAATGTAGCTTGGAAAGAAGGCCAGGGACCATAGTTATTTATAACATAATCAAAGTAAAGCGCACGCTCTGATTGGTCAATTTAGCGTCCCCCATTTGCCCATGGGTGTACACTGCTGACGTGAGCAAATGAAAAGACTTTTTCTGCGCACGCTTGTTTTTTCTGGTCACGTAAGATTTGTTAAATAAAAGGGAACTCTTTAGCTACAATGTATCAATGTTATGTTATAAAACAAATAGTAAACATCACAGCGTACACTATTGAGTTATGGATACACTTGGGAGGTTTGCTAAGCACTCAAGAAGCTAGAGTCGCTCTCGGCTATCGCCTCAAGCGACTCTTGCGCTTCTTTCATGCTTAGCAACCTCCCATGTGCATCCATAACTCAATAGTGTACGCTGTGGTGTTTACCA